GAGAAGCTGAACTTCAGGCCATAAGATTCGAGGAAGGTTAAAGTCGCCTGTGAGCAGGAACTGCGGGCGACTCATTTGGTTTTGGACGTGTGTGAGCCAATCCAATCCGTTACTCAGTGGGCTACGATTTGCCACACCCACAAGCAGTTCGCCGCGTCGTAGGTGGATCGAACACCACAGCTGCGCACATAGATCGTCAATACTTCGGTAGGTGCTCACGAGTCTCCCGCACAGGGTGGACCGGAGGTAAAGTGGGACGCCACCGCGGCTGTTCGACTGTCGATCACAGCGGAAGCACGAATAGTCCGTGATCGCCATTTCTTCGCTTGTCACTTCAGATGTCAACCACGTCTCAGCCAAACCAACCACATCTGGCCGACGTGAAGCAATGAAGCGGATCAGATCATCGTGCTTGTTCATTAAGCTGCATACATTAATGAACGCTACACGCAATCCGCGGTAGGAACCGCTGGGCGAGCTTGAAGCGTCATTGCTCTGTTTACCCGGATTCGGGGTATCCGGGCAACTGTGCGAAAATTTACGATACGCAGGTTAGTTTCACCGGCGTCCGTGCGTCGTTTCAGTTCGAACACGGCAGACTTCAGCTGCTCTCGTTCTGCGGGATCAAGGTCTGGCCGGACATGGATTTTCATCCCCTTTAGGCGACCGAGGCGGGACAGTACTAACCTTGGGGCAGTTTCGTCGGCGAACGCGATGCGCAGAGACCGACACTTGCCATCAACTTGTTTCCCCAGACGAGTGACTTGTTTCACTCGTAATCCGGGTTCGCCAACATCCAGTAGTTTGTCGGTTAGAGACTGCAAGAATTGCACATCATGGTCATAGCGTACCTGGGGACTGGGATCAGTCGACTCAGGTGCGTGGAAAATCATGACGTTGCATAGCCGTTCCCGTGGTGACTTGCTATCGCTTGGCTTCACCGGTTTCGGTAAGGCCGGTTTCTCGGCTAGCAATTTCTCAAGTCGTGTTACCTTGTTTAGCACAGACTTTAATTGTGACACTGAAGACGGTGGTTTCGATTTGTTGTTGTTTACCGCCTTACAACTTTTCTTTTTAGGGGCCTGGACCCAGCCGGGTGGTTTTGCGGCGCCAGCGCTGGCCACGGCTGCGTAGGTCGCAGTTGCAGTTGGAGTGCCGACAGACGGCTTTTTTCGGTTGTCTTGTGAACTATGCATTGGTGTGTCCGCTGATGAAGCGGAGGAGGAGCGGCTTCGATTGCGCACAGTATGGATGCATGGAGGAGTCACCGGCGGTAGTACGGGCGTAACCAATGCGGCGTTATTATCTGTCTTTTTCGCCAAAGTCAGATTCGTCAGAAGGGACTTATCGTTAACAATAAGTCGGCATTTGTCACAGTGGAATGTTAGCGCGGAAGATGCCGTTCTTTTCAGGCATTCATAAAGATCGTGCTCAATGCCGCTGCACGTTATGTGGGCCCATCCTTCGCACAGACCGCACTGCAGCGCTTTAGACCGAGAAGTGACATTTCTGCTGCAGCTCAGGCACTTAGATGCTGCTGCTGCTCTCGTTTTGTCGAGAGTAGCGTCCAAAGTGCTAGACGCACGGGAGGTCGCAGCTCGCTGGACCTTGCTCGTCATGCTTGATGTCTTGTGGATAGGTGTCGCTATCCAAATCACTTTGGATGTGTGAAGGAATTTGACAGACGTCAAATTCTATTACCAATGTGCGTTGAAACACCGGTATTCAAGCGTATTTCACTTGTAAGACAAACGTATAGCAAGAATGGGAACGAGCCACCGGACGTCGTTATCCGCAGACGATAGCCCGGAACGCAAATCGTTACTGCTTGAGGTCAAACATATTGTCCGGTAGTTGGCTGGGTCTTGTTGGTTTCACCCCTCGTAGTTGGGCAGGACGGTACCTGCTTTCCAGCCTGTGGGTAGGCAACCGACTTCTAGGGATTGCCGAAACACTTGGCAGAGTGGGGCGGTGACGTACTCAGCTATCGTTCTGTGGAAGCTGGGATGCAATCCGTCCGGGCCTGGGGAGGAGTTCGGGTCCAGTTCGAGGAGTAGCTTAGTGACTACTTCGGGGTTAATTTCAACT